TGCCCCCGAGCCTGGCTGAGAGCAGCACCCGGCTTCCCCCCACAGACCGAGCGCCAAGCTTAACTTCGTCGACCACGTCGTGGGGAACCAGCCCGACCTCCAGATGGTCCCAGTGGCAGACTGGTAAGAGTGGGGAGGGCTGGCGGGAGGTGGGATGGAGCAGCAGCACCGCTCTGCTGGTCTCATCCCCTCCAATGTCAGCGGCTGAGGCTAATTAAGCCAGAGCAGAGGTTCATTAGTGTGGGGATGGAGCAAGGGACTTGAACGTGCCCTTTGTGGCCCGGGCAGGTATCAGAAGAACCTGCTCTTCCACCGCTTCTGGTCGGTGGATGACAAGCAGCTGCACACTGAGTTCAGCGCCCTGCGCTCCATCGTGGTCACCAACTACGAAGAGACCATTAAGATGCCCATCAACGAGCCAGCACCCGGCAAGAAGAAATCCCAGATTCAGGTGAGTGCACGCCGGGGGTTGGTCCGTCAGACTGCCACCACCTCGAGTGGGGCTTGAAAAGGGACCAAAGGGGTCAGTGATTCAGAGCCGGCGCAGACACGCTCAGCAAAGGTGGCTCTCTGGAAAGCAGCCCTGGTTCTGCTTGGGTCTGCCCAGGGCTGTCAAACCCTGGGGGAGCCACCGGGACAGAGCCCGTTTACCCCTGATTTCACCAATAGTGTCTTTTTTAATTTCGTGGTGTCCCTGAGCTGATTTTGTTCTCATGTTTTTAAGCCCAAGCCCAGCCCTTTGCGGGCTGTAGCTGTGCTGTCACTAATGTGGTGACACTTCTTCCCTGTAGGAATACATTGACTACTACGGAGGGGCCGGAGTCCAGCACATCGCGCTGAACACCTCCGACATCATCTCTGCGGTGAGTGCAGCCCCGGGCAGCCCTCTGCCCCGGCCCGTCCTGCCCCGATGCCTCCACCCCATCCCACTGGGCACGGTCCTTGTCACAGGGCAGTGGTGGATGATGAGCCCCGTTGGGGTACGAGGACACGGGCAGGTTGGGCGGGCTTTGTGCTGTGGTTGTCTTGCAACCGGGATTAACCGCCCTCTGTGTCAGTGTGTTGCTGGAAAGGGACCTGCCTGCACCTGTGAGCTGCTGGCAGATGCCCGTCCCTCCAGCTTAAAGTGATTGGGGTCCACAGGGACCTCGATGGCACCCACCACCTGGTGGGTGGCTGGTGGGGAGCTCGGGCAGCCCGGGCTGCTGGGCTGAGCCACCATAGCACATCACCCACCTTTGCCTGTGGCAGATGCTGGTGTGGGCTGAGCCCAGCTGCTGTTGAGCACTTGGTTTTGGGCTCCTCTCCAGAAGTATCAGGGGGTCAGGGTGGGATGAAGCATCGGTGGCCAACTCTCTGCGTTGCCTGGAGGGGGCATCTTGGGCCCTCCCGTTCCTGGTGCCCAAAACAAGAGGGTGGGAGAAGTGCCCATGCATGAGGTTGACCAATGTCATGGAAAAGTATCACTCTGCCTCCTGACACCACCCATCCCGGGCCATCCTCTTGGCACAAGGCACTCCACAAACGAGCCCCAAGCCTGACCCACGCCGGGGTCTCCCCTGCCTTGCAGATCACCAACCTGAAGCAGCGGGGCACACAGTTCATGGACGTGCCGTCCAGCTACTACCAGGTGCTGCGGGAGAGGCTGAAAACTGCCAAAATCAAAGTGAAGGAGAACATCGACAAGCTGGCGGTGAGTCAGACTGGCCCGAGAGGGAAAAAGTTTGCCCAGGGCTGGACCGGCTCCCCAAAGTGTTTTGCAGGGATGAGGGTGATGCAGAAGGATCCCCTTGCTCCTCTGTGGGTCTTCGAGCTGGCGCCCTGTTTCTTTTCTCCAGGAATTGAAAATCCTGGTGGATTTTGATGAGAAGGGCTACTTGCTCCAGATCTTCACCAAACCAGTTCAAGACAGACCCACGGTCTTTCTGGAGGTCATCCAGCGGCATAACCACCAGGTTGGTTTGAGGATGTCGCAATGATCTTGGCCTCAAGACCTCAAGGCCATCGAGCACTGTCACCGAGCCAGCCCTCAGTGCTGCTCTTCCCCAGCCGCTTCCGAGCTGACAAACCCGTCGCCCATCCCCACAGTCCGTAACGTTGTCATCCTCACAGGGCTTCGGCGCCGGGAACTTCAAGTCTCTGTTTGAAGCGATAGAAATGGATCAAGACGCAAGAGGAAACCTGACCATCCTGAAGCCCAACGGGGAGACCAAGCGCATCTAGAGGATGGCAGAAATGCTGCCCCCGTCCCTAACGAGCTGATTCACAAACAAACCGGGTAACAGCCGATGTTTTGGTAAATAGCCCAGACCTAAGTGTCATAAACCCAGGGAAGCTGCTGCCAAGTTGGAGATGTAAAAGGACTCGCACCTATCCTGACCCAGCCCCGGTGCTGCCCTCCGGTGACTTCTTGGGAGAGGGAGCATGGGAAATAGCGAACACGGTCTTAAAAAGCAGTTTAATCTGATCCAAACCACCGAATTCTTAACACAGGGCAGATTTAAGGCATGTGTCAAAGACACGCAGCTACGGAGGAAGAGAGAAGAACGAACTGGGAGTGCTTAAATTTAGTCTATCCAAAGTTTTCTGTTAATTTTAGCTACGCGGGAGGCTGGGAGAGGAGAGCACGGAGGCATTCACCTCTCTGTGCATCTCATTTTGTAACATTTTATTTTAATTGCTTTTAGACTCAATCTTGAATTTGAATTTCCTAAGATTAAACACGTAGTTTTAGGGTAGCTACAACATCCTAGTATGAGACTATTACTAGATGTAATAGAATTTACATATTTCAGCCTTCCCAAGGCAACGCAGTCTTGCTCTAATACCTGTAAATTCCTGAATTAATGAAGGCTTGGTGTTTCTTCTGTGTTTCAAGAAGTAATTGCTGGCATCGGTAGCGATTCCCTAGCTCAGATCCCGGCTGCAACAGCCCCTGTGGGCATTGCTCTGGTGTCTGGTGGTCACTGTCCTTTGCAAGCGGACTTTCCCCACCCGCACAATAAAGCCCTTTTCTGTCACAGCCTGAGTGCCTGGTAAGTTCATGTGTCGGGGCTGGAGACCCCACGTTCGCTGCAGCTGCAGGTCAAACGCTCCCCGAGGAGTCTGCAGACCTCAGCGTGCAACTGCTGAAGAACATCTCAGGATCTCCGGGCTCCATGGGCCTCCCCACTGTTGCACATCTGCCCTCAAAACCCCGGTGCACCCACTGCTGCTCCCCAGGTTTCCCAGCATCGAAGCTGCTCACACCCCAAGCAGCCAAAGCCCCTGCCAAGCCCTCGGCTCAGGACGGGCTCCTCGGCCACGGGTCCTTCCGTCAGCCCAAGCCTCTGCCCCATCCGGCCACCCTCCAGGCTGAGTCCTGCTGCCTTCTGCCCCGCGCCAGCGCCGCGAGCTTTGGCTGTCCTGCGT